ACTTCCGGTGATGGCGTTGCCGGTCTCGCAACAAGTTTAGGACGGCATTTGGTAGGTTTTCCCGTCCTGATGAAGACGGCTTGGATTTGCCTTCATTAAACCGGTTTAAAAGGTAAGGGAATCTCATAGAATAATCGAAAAATAATTTCCAGGATAGGTAATTTCTCACTGTAGTTTTTTTCTGGAAGTGTTGTCAAAAGTGCTCTGATACATGAGTCAGGTTCTTCGTACGGATGTGATCGGAAGTTTCAATTAATTATTAGTATCACGCCACTTAGATGGTTTTTTTTTCACCGATGTATGGGTTCTTCTCTTTCACAGTTTTTCATCTTATAAAGGTACTCTGAGAAATCTTAGAACAATAACTTTCGCAATATATCGTGTTTTAGTATAAACAGCATGAGCAAGTCGAGCAGTCGATACAATAAAATCGATGCAACATTTTTTTTCAGTGGTTGTTGATGCTATTTTTACAATGGACGAAAGCAGCTCAGAAAGCCCAGGCCTAAAGAAAAAGTGAGGATGAAATTTAATATCTTGTAAATAAGTTTAAACCTTTTTTTAGTGCAATTTTGAACGCGAAGAAATTAAAATATATAAAACAAAATGAGAATATAAAATTATGCAAATTAGCCATGTGTTTTACCAGATGATACAGTATTTGATAATAGGAGTACTTTGGCAGAATATTTTGTTGTTTTAGCTAATCTTTTGTTGGAATGTTATATTTTGTTATACAGCTTCCACATGTACAGGTCTCATCACAAAATCTTAAATATTTTTCTGATTTATTGTCAGGAAGATTATACCTGATTTTACATATTTGTGTTAGTCTGTTCTTCATCACTCTTTTTTCTTGTGACCCATCCTAGTTCTCTAATCATATCTGTTACACTGGCTGTGCAGTTGTAGTTCTGAAGACTGAAATAAGCTGTTTTTCTCATTTAAAAAATAGGTTAAATGAATGATTGTACCTCCTATTTTCAAGTGATATATGTTAGGTTAAGATGTAATATTTGTTTATATAGCCACTTTTCTCAGAAGTTTTTGTTTATGATTGTTATTAGATCTATAATGGTGTGGACTGAAGAAAAAGATGTCAAACTCTTGAGAGCTGTGGCGGCTGAGGGTGTTTTTATCAATAGTAGGGCAGGATCAAGGGAGAGAGGAGCATTATGGCAGGTTGTTGCCTCTTCTCTTATGGCAGAAGGTATGCCTGTCATTTCACGATCGGTGAGAGACCGCTTCAATATTCTGGCAAAGAAATGGCGAGTAAAAGTTAGACAAGAGGAGAGAGAGAGTGGTGGAGGAGATAAAGAAATGAGTGAAGCTGAAAAGCTGGTGGAGGAGTTAGTGGAATTAGAGATGGAATCTGAGAAGACAAAAGAGCAGAAGGACGAGGCCAAGAAACTGGTAGAGGGAGAGAAAAAGAAGGCAATAGAGATGAGGGAGAGAGCAATGGAGAGGTTCAGTCAAACCAAAAAGAGACGAGAAGAAACAGAAAAGGATGAAGGGAAAAAGGAGAAAAAAAGAAGAAGATCAGGAGAGGCAATTGAGTGGTTGAGAGAAAAGGGAGAGAATATGCGAGAGATGAAGGAGCAAGAACTCCAAGAAAGAAGGGAAGAACGAGAAGCCCAAAGAGCTCAAACTGAACAGTTTATGGCTCAAATGCAAGCTCAAAATGAGCAAATGAAATTATTTCAACAACAACTGCTGCAACAAATGCAGCAACAGCAGCAACAGCACAGCGAACAACAACAACAATTTGCCATGATGCAGCATCAAATGATGCAAGTTTTGACACATCAAACACATGCATTTCAGCAACAGTTAAAGAGAGTTTTAGGGTTTGGCTTTGATACACATCAACATTGAATGCAATGTCATTACCTGAGTTTTGCATGTTTTTTATTTTTTGTTATATAAAACAAAATTTTTAATCAAATAGAGCATATTTTGTATTGTAAAGGCCACTTATCTCGATTATCTTTATTTATTAAACAAAATTTTTGGGCAGCAGCCCATTGTACGAATAAAACAGAAAATTACAACCTTGATCATTAAAAAGCACTGTTTACAATCATAAAACAAATGTTGTGTTTACCAGATAAAGTAATTGGTACGCATTAACCAGGGGCCAGGGGTAATACACTTTTGAGCTATGAAAATTTCCATTACTTTTCAAGGAATTCCATGACCTAAGTTAGCAAGTGTACTAATTGATTAAATCCATGATGGCACAAAAATTTGCATAAATGTCACAAAAGTATTAAGTGTAAACAGAAATGTCAACACATGTAGGTTGTGCTGATGTTTATTTCTACTGAAGAAAATATTTTTCTCACTCATCAGCTTATTTTACAAATTTGGATCTACAATACATTGCACTCAAAGAAAGCCATCCCAAAAAAAGGTTAATAATGTACAAGTGATTACTAATACAATCTTTCTTTAAATTTTTAACCCTCCAACATCAAAAGTGTAACTCTTCTATTGGCCAAAATACAAAATAAGACGAATTCAGATTATTGGAAGTAGTCCTGTAAAGAAGGCGGTTGAACTTCAAACTTTTCTGACACAATGTTACCATACAGACAGGTCAACGCATTTTCCAAAAGGGCACAAACAATGTAAAATTTCCCCACTGAACTCAAGTTAATTTGTAATTGGCTTTTAAAATCAATAAACTTAAAATAGTTTGTAATATTACCAAAAAGCCACTCAACTGCAACTCTTACTTCACTCATGGCCGCATTGTACAAAACCATTTGTGGAGTGAGTTGAATGTTTTTAAAAGGGGCCTGAAGGTGAACACCCAAAGGGTATGCAGGATCACCATAAAGACAAAGAGGATGCCCATTATGAAATGCCACCCTCCGAAGCTCATTGAGAATGTCTGTTTGTTGGAGCATTGTGCTGTCGTGTCTTTTACCTTCAAAGGGGCCATGAAGGTTTGCAATTAATCCGTTTGGGATGACAACACTCTGAAATTTTATGGAATGTATTCTCTTGTGGCCATTGTACATAACCCTTTGGTTTTCTTGTGGCCTCGCTATTCCACGCACAGTACCATCAATAAATCCAAAACAATTGCCTAATGGAGCACCAAGACGGTGCACAGCCTCTGCATAGCTGTACAGCTGGTTAGGCTGTAAAAAGAACTGATCCCAGCTGCGAAGTCGATGGTTATGATTATCGTAGATAAAATCGATCATAGTGTTGAAGATTAAGCAAAGCTCGGTCGGATTCCTGCCAAAGCGGGGTACCATGTCTGTGTATCTACAAGGGTATGCCAACCTCTTCAATAAAATGCACAGGCCCTCCATCCCACCACATACTGTTCTTTGCACGCATGTAATTTTTTCAGGAATTCCTAAACATTCACATAATTCAGGCAGATGTTTCTTCGCAAATCTAAGCTCAGTCTTGCACTCCACATCGCTCCACTCGTCTACACTGAATCTGGGGAATTTCCAGTATGGGAAAATAGGTTTTGACGAATAGGCGTCATATAGAAGAACAAATTCGTCATCGTCGATAATATCATAGAAGCTGGCTGTTAACAAAGCATCGCGGACAGAGCTTAAACCACCACTCGCCATGATCTATGATATGGGAAGCCACAAAGGAATCGCAATACAGAGATCACGAAAGCCGTTCTCACGAAAACAACTCGCATGAAAAG